GGTGATGGTGGAGAAGAAATGCATCGAGATCGATCGCCAGCAGTCGGAGAGCAAAGAGGAGTTGACCAATGCCCAATGGCAAGCGCTGATTGCCCTGCATCGAACATTGCTCCACGAGCATCATGACTTCTTCCTCGCCTCGAATCACCCTGCCGCCAGCACCATGCTCAGGAAGTTAGCGGAGAAGTATGCAATGCCCGCGCGGATGTGGCGATATGGCATCCATTCGTTCCTGGAGCTGCTCCGCCATCGACTCCCTGGATCGCTAGACCATATGCTCACCTTTATCTATATCGCATACTCGATGATGACATTGCTGCTAGAAAGCGTCCCTTCGTTTGAAGAAACCTGGATCGAGTGCCTGGGGGATCTGGCCCGGTACCGGATGGCCGTCGAAGAAAACGACATGCGGGATCGCGAAGTCTGGTCTGGAGTGGCTCGATATTGGTATAATAAGGCGGCCGATAAGAATCCCGGAATTGGCCGGATCCAACATCACCTGGCGGTACTGGCAAGACCGAATATCCTGCAACAACTCTTCTACTATTCAAAGTCCTTGGTCAGCATTCAGCCTTTCTTAAGCACCCGGGAAAGCATTCTTCTCCTTTTCAATCCACTTTTAGATCCCGCGAGGCCAGTGAGCAGTCGTTATCCACCTCTCTTAACTGCATTTGTGTGTGCCCATGGGTTCCTTTTCACGCGGGGCAAAATCAACGCATTTACTATGTCCGCGCACCAGTTCCTATCAAGTTTAGGTACATATATAGGCCGGATTGGCGCCGTCTTCCGCGAACAGGGCGTTTATATCGCCTCCTCGAATTATGCGGCCATCTTCGACTTTGGGCAGTCTGACGCCATTCTCCCACGCATGTTTGAGCCAAGGGCGCTTCAAGAAATTCCATCTTCTTCAGCGCGATATGAGTCTGCCCAGAGATTCTGGGAAAGCCATACATCATCGTCATCTCTTGAGCTGAGTGTGCTATCTCAGCGCGATGGGCCACGGTCAGAAGATGACCGGTTCAGCAGCTCTATCCAGGTTCTCTCTTTCGCCTCACATCTGGCATTCTCTACATTACGAATCATCTTGGGACAGATTGGCGATAAAAATGTGCTCCCTAGTGTGCATCTGTCATTAGCTTTTCTTTGGAGTATGGCGTTGGTTCCAACAAGCATGACTTATATCGAAGCGGATGTTCCCTGGGTGCAGATCGCATCGTTTCTCAATACGTTAATACGGCCTGATATGGACATGTCCAAGGTTGAAGATGAGCAGTTCCCGAGCTACGAGACCGGCTCGTCGAGGCAGTTGCCGGAAGACTTCTTGATCCGCGGCCAGGCGTGGAGTCAGCTCTACTACCCGGAACACTTCTTTGATGTGACGGCAGACGAGGAGGAGCGATCGATCGAGCTGCCGTCGGTGATTGTGCCGCGCACTCATCGGTGCTTGTGGCTAGGAGTGCGCATTGCAAGTGTAAGTCTGGACTTGTTGCCAGTGTGGATTATCTGTATACTGATGAGAGATGATTATTATCGTAGTTCAAATGCTGGATCACATATGATTCCGACCGGAAGGTATTCCTACCCACGCCGTTCGCGTACGAACTCGAGAACGCCGCCCGGCAACACAATCCCCTGCAAGGTGTATCAGGCGCGGAAGCATCATCTTCATCTTCATCCCACGACAACGATACCACCATGACGGGTATGTGATGGAGGTTTTTATTTTTTTCCCTCTCTCTAGCGATCCATCCATATATGGGAGGTTATCTGTCTCTGTCTCTCTTTTTTTCTTTTTTTTAATCCATGTTCAAGTAATAGATTCGAACGATATAATATAAATATGAAACGATACTCTCGGATAGGAGTGTATGTATGTATGTACATTGTTGCAAGCGGAATAAATAACATAAAATTTTCAAAAATTTTTCTCAATTTTAACCAATATCTTCAATATTATTGAAAAAACACGCTCATCAAGTCACGTCACACACAGACAGACCTTGACGAGAAGAGCAGTAGCAGCACAGCACAGCACACACTCTTCTCCGTTCAGGATTCGTAAAGAAAATAACAACTCCCGTACTTATATAGTGTCTCTAGTCATGATGGATCATGTATGCCTCAATGCCTCAATGCCTCAATGACAATGACAATGACGATGACGATGATGACGAACGGCATAGTTCCAATTTCATTTCATCTTGCATTTTATAGTATGTATAGTGTAGTCTGTGCAGTACGCTTCTCTTGATTCGCCTCATCTGTCATATCATCAACGTCAGCAGCAGTAGTGGTAGTAGCAGTGGCATTAATTCAACATGAGCATTAATAATTTTTTTTAGAAAAAAAAAAGAAAGCAAACAAAAGGTGACCTTCCCTCGTTCTTTCTATCTATTTCAATTCAGTTCAATTTATTCCCCCATTGTTTTTCATCTATATGACGACGACGATGATGATGATGGAGTTTATCTGACCTGACCTGATCTGGTCTGGTTTGATCTGATCTGATGTGCATTGCATTACCTTGCCTTGGCTTGAATTGAATTGTACTTGATTCAGTTCGATTCAGTTCACTTCACTTCTGTTCTATTTTACTTAACTGGAGAGATCTAAGATAGAGTACAGAATGCAGGATGCAGGATGTCCTTCTTAATGTACACATAGTGGTAGATATTCATGCTATTTATTTATTCCTCAGCTAGTCAGTCCAAATACTGGAATTCTTTTTCATTCTTTGCATTGATAATGAATGCTCTTTATGCTTCTTGCTAGCTAGACCTTTCTTTTCACGCTGTACAGATAGACAAACAGATAGACATCCGTCCATGGTATGCAATTTCGATTCGATTCGTTTCATTTCATTTCGTTTCAAAGAAGAAGAAGAAAAGCAATGTCCCATACTCCCGTGTTCCATATTGCTGTCATCATCGTCATTGTCATCTCATATTCGAAGAGGAAAGAATTGAGTACTCAGGCATCGTATTTCTCGTTCATTCAGTTCAGTTCATGTCGATTTGATTTGCCAACGTCGTAACTTGTACTCAGCCGTAGCACTGCTCAGCCGCAGCTCATGTGTATCCTCGTGGTCATAGTTCCCAGACTCTCGAATACGTGATGTGGATAGCCGTCGATAAGCTGTATCTCGCAGGTTGAGGAACTACCTAGTTGAGGTAGATGCGCCACTGGAGACGGTGTTAGCTAGCTCAGTCATACAAAACATGTCAGGACACGCTATGCTGCTTACCGCCTGTCGAACAGGCCTCCGACACATCGGGCAGGTCGCAGCTGCCTTGGAGCGAGACTGCGTCTGCGCAATGCTAGGGCCGTTGCCGTTGCCGGTGCTGCGCAGCGTCGGCAGAGCCTGTTCCGCACACCACCGGCAGAGAATCGCATGCCCGCACGGCAGCAGCACCGTGTCTACCAGCTGACTCATGCAGATCTTGCATTCGAGATTCACCTGCATCTCCTCCGCTTCCTTGGGCTCGGGTCGTTTGGTACGCGGGTCGTCCAGCCCCAGGCCCTGGCTCCGGGGCGTGGGCATCGGATCCCCCGCAGCAGTGGAGTTGTTATTAGTGGTATTATTTACATTGCCAGACCTTCTACCGCTAGAACTTGCACCAGCACTTGCACCGGCACTGGCACCGTGAGAGATTGAGACGGTAGTAGGCTGCTGCTCGTTCAGCATCTGCATGGCCTCAGCGGCAGCATGTTCAGCGCGAAGGTGGCTGTTGTTGCTGTTGCGCACTGCGCCCTGCGGACGATAGCTGCCTTGGAGAGTGCCAGCGGAGGCAGCAGGAGCAGGCACGTTGGAACGAAGCGGTTCAGTGAGCACCGGAGGAAAAGGCGGGAGGTCATTTGCTGAAAGCACCATGCCGGGAACAGAATAGTAACGTCCTGATCCTTCGAATCGAGGCGGAGATGGACGACGTGCAAGGTTGTTCGGACCCTGGTCGTCCGGACGGCGGGCGCGACGACGACTGTTGTGCTGGGGCTGGCTCTGGGTCTGACCAGCAGCATTATTCTGCGGTGCCGGACCGTTGAGACTGGGACCAAGACCATCCGACCCAAGTCCAAGACTAAGACCAAGACCCGGGTGATGCTGCTGTCGCTGGTAGCCCAACGCAGATGCAGCTCCACCGGGGTGAATCACGTATGGATGAGCGGGGAATCGCGGCTGGTGGACTTGGGAAAGCGCATTGGCAGCGACGATATCCGGCACATGCTGAGCCTGCATCTGACCCGAGAAGCTGAGCGGGGCCGCAGACGACATGACGGGAAATGCAGGGAGAAAGGCCGGGGCCAAACCGGACGCAGCAGCTCCTGGTTGCACCTGTCTAGTTGGATGCTGCACACGAGCTGGGCGTTGCAGACCGCTCGCGTACAGGGCCGCCGTTCCAGCTGCTCCAAATCCCTGAGGAACACGCATGGAGGCGATCTGAGGGTCAAGGAGCCAGGGCTGGTGCGAGCCATCACCAGGCCAGACCTGATCAAACTCCATGGGAGTGGCCATCGTGGTGCGCAATGCGGTAGCTCCTACATTGGCATTGCCATTGAGGCCGGCATTGACATTGACGTGACCAGCCGGTTCGGTGACGAAACCTGGAATAGAGACGGCCACCAACGGTAGCTGAGGTAGATGTAGAGGCATCTGCTGATTGTGTATCTGCTGAGTCTGCATCGGCTGAGACCCAAGATTGCTTCTGGAATCGACACCAGGGGTGGCCATCGGGTGAGTATCAGTATTCATGTTCTCTGTTTGATAGTCAGCAATGATTCAAGTCAGGAATATGGCTTCCATACGCGAGACTGCAGACTGGTCGACGTTGCCTTGAAGCTGCGGCGGTGGATCTTCAAGGTTAATCAAATCGCCCATCTGGTTCGGACCAGGGAGTGCCTGGCTGTCAACAAGCGTTGGCATGTTGCCGTTCTGAGAGGTCGAGGGATCGCGTATCACGTCAGGGCGGTTCTCCATTGATCTCTGATGGTGATAGGGCACTCGAGATACTGGAAATTCCCGCCTCAGATCGTGGAGGGTCGAGAGAACACGAGAGATATCAGTGTTGATTGCTTCCAGCTCGTGCCTCAAGGTGGTGATGTTACGGCAATGGAGAGAAAGAGAAGAACGAGGCTGAACACGCGGACGGGTATGATTCTGGTAGCTGTTGCGATTCCTGACAGCGCGGTAGGCTTCGATCTCAGCAGTCGTCTCTGGGAGATTAAACGCAGCCACGGACGACTGCAGGACCTGGCTGATGGGGATCTCAGGAACAGAATTGCCGGAATGCGCCCGCCAGTATTCTAGATATGGATAAATGAGCGCATGGGACAAAGCTGAAGAAAGCAAGAAAGAATGAAGCACAAAGGAATTGTTCAAAAACAGTATCTCTTAGGATGTGATTCTGATGCCAATTCCAAACATAAAACGAAAGCTGTACACTGCACAACAGACTCAGGGATACTAACCCTGGCACGACCTGCAGTATTTGGAGGAATTGAAGCTCAGCACGGGGTTGAGATGGCTGTCGCCGTGAGCAAGCCCCGGCAGAAGCTCAGACACGCTTCTGCGGTCGGCACAGCGACAGCAGATGGACGAGTTCACCAGGAGACACCCAATAGCATGACGATGCACACAACTCAATGCTTCAGGCCGCACAGACAGACTGGACATGATGGTGAGAGACCAGAGAGAAGAGGTTTGCTCTGCTTCACTGGGTATTTCAATGTCCTGCCCACCGCTTTGTCTTCACGGTGCCTGTCCAGCAGTGCTTACAACCATGTTGCTAGTCGACGCTCTTGGATTTCAGTGAAGCGACAGACAGATAAAACTCCCGCAGTGCTTCAGTCACTCTCCACCATCATCGATCTAATATCACGGGACGGATCTTGTGATGCGCGGATTGCCTGATCGGTCAGTCTGCTGATTGTCAAGTCATCCACCGTCAGAGCCCAGACAAGCGAGCTGCCGCAAGAGAGCTTTTTTCAACACTTCCAGGCAGCACTCCTGGACTAGGTTGACAGCGCTGAAGCCTGGCCACCGTCGAGCAGGAAGCAGAGATGGACGCGGAGAGAGGGCTGACGTCCGAACAACGTTTGCGGGACCAGTGGCCGGACAGCGGTTCCAGACATGATGCAGACCTGCTGGCCTGTCGCAGAGGGCATGATAGGCTGGCCGAGTTACAGGCTGGACTAACCCGCAGCCGCCACGCGGGCACCTGAGGCGCAAGGCCGATAGTAGCGATGGCACTGCTCATCGAGTCCTCAGGCTGCGTCGCTGATCGTTCCGCGTCAAACCCCGCAGAGGGGAAGCCCGCAGCCACAGGGGATCGAGTTCAGGCGTGCAGCTGCGCAGTGTTCACACGCACCCGGCAGCAATGGACGTCATCGACGCCGTTTGGATCGATCGATATCGTCTGGCAGCTGGGATTCTGACTGGCCGAGAAAGCCCGACCGGGAGTCGTGCTGCCAGTTGCAGTAAGTTGCATTCCAGACGAGAGGCGACGTCATGCCCGATTACGTACTCGTCCACACCGGAATTATCTCGATCAGCTGGCCCCTGCGTCCCGAGCTTGACGATCCCGATCGGTATGGAGATATCTACAAGGAATGTCACAGGTCTCGTAACCAACCAAATCCGTACGATTCAATATTCATTTAGTCCACTGCGTCGAAAGCCAAATAATAATGACTGATCACAAGTGACCCAGCACAGGAAAACTTTCTCTTGATCCTGTCACGTGGTACGGAACCAACAGACATGTCCGCACCCGCGTAATTTAGACAACAGTATTAATTAAAACTAACTATGATTGCATTTTATTCTTTGTTGTTGTTTATTAAATGGTTCAAAATAAAATAGTTGAAAGAAATGCCCGTAGATATAGTGCCCGGAAGGAAGCCAATTAGCGTGGTCGACATACGTCAGTACCCGCACGACATCTGGATACTTTCTCCGCATTAACATCTGCTCTTCAGCTCAACGATTACAGCGGGAATAACAAGCCAAGAGTAGGGGAAAAGAAGCACTTGAACCAATGCAGATTATCATGCCATCTTTCTAGCTAGACTCCGTATATACTATTCATGACATCGAGATTGCTGCTGACCCCCCGCCATCTGTATCTGCGTCTGCATCTGAAGTCCAAACCAAAGACGAGCTTTATCAACCGCACCATGGTGACCTTCACCATCCCCTCCAGCGGGGACGCAGTCGATGCCGGCGAACTGACCGTCAATTCGACGCCTGAAAATCTCTCACGCGAGCAGCTGCTGGCTTTCCCCGCGTTCAAGATCTGGCTCTCGACGCTGCAGCGCTCGTTGGCCCGGCAGAAGAACCCCTCGCACGAGTTCCACAAGAACCCCTATGTACTGCGCGGGATCGAGATTCAGGCCGTCGATTTCTTTCGTGGTGGAAGACTCGGGTTCGTCAAGTTGAGGGCGGACGTGTCGAATCAGGATGGGGAGAGTCTGCCGGGGAGTGTGTTCCTTCGAGGGGGGAGTGTTGGGATATTGGTAAGTTATATCTTCGTTTTTTTCTTAAAAGTACAACTGGTTCAAGGTCCTGGTTGGGGTGGACAAGCAAGCACGCAGACAGGCATGCAAACAAACAAACAAACACGTGCCATATGTGTCTCTATCAGCATGAACCTAGCACCAAACCTGGGGCCAGTGGCCCAGTCGTTAAGGTCAGGATGAGACAAATTCTCTAGCCTTGGTGTCACTGGGCAGGCCTCGGGGTCGATCCGCCGTCTTGTCGATGGAAGACTCAATTTCTGCTGACATCAGTCAAGATTGGAGGATCAGTAAAACTCTGCCCGTCGAAAGACGCAGTCTAACGACGCAGTGGGGTTTTCGTAGCGCCCTTCCTCCTCGCAAGAGGACCGAGGGTGTGAGCTTTTTTATATCTCAATTTTTTTTTGTTTCTACCTGTATATTTCTTTTTCTTTTGCATGGATCGATGTTATATACAGAGGCGAACCTCACAAGTTCTATATCACTAATTGCATGACTTATCCCTAACTGACAACTTTTTTACCAGCTCATCCTCCAACCAGACGATACACCTCCATCCTCAGACGAAGGCAAACACGTCATCTTGACCGTCCAACCGCGCATCCCAGCCGGTTCGCTCGCCTTCCCAGAAATCCCCGCAGGGATGCTCGACGACAGCGGGACATTCGCGGGCAGCGCGGCGAAAGAAATCCAAGAGGAGACGGGACTCTCAATCGCGCAAGACGAGCTCATCGACATGACCTCTCTAGCTCTGACGTCACTTCAGAGCGACCAACCCAAAACCAAAACCCAAACGCAGCAAGATGACAACAACGACGACGAAGAAACCCTCCAAAAAGCAGTCTACCCCTCCCCCGGCGGCAGCGACGAGTTCATCCCGCTCTTCCTGTGCCAGAAACGCATGCCTCGGAGCGCCATCGACGAGCTGCAGGGCCGGCTGACGGGTCTGCGCCACGAAGGCGAGAAAATCACGCTCAAGGTGGTCCCGCTGGAGAATGTCTGGAAGGAAGGCGTAAGGGATGGCAAGACGTTGGCTGCGTGGGCGTTGTATCGGGGGTTGAAGATGGAGGAGAGGATATAATTGAAAAGAAAAAAAAATGGCATGGCATGGGGGATGTTTTGTTGATTGATAGAGTGCATGTCAGGTCAGTCACATCCCCATTTGTGACTAGATAAGCTAATTGTATATAAATAATACTACACATAATCAGTCAGAAGAAATAGAGAAGTAACTTCTCTTTTCACACACTCAAATTGAAAAAAAAATATAACATTATTATAGTATAGAAATGTACCTGTAGAATGTAGTGAATTTGATGATAGTTATGAAACGCCCCGAGAGAATTTAATTATATCGTGAATTGTCGTTTATTTATTGAATGGGTGGAGTGGAGTAGAGAGAGAATCTAGCCATTCTATCTATCATTTGCAATGATGATATATCAGTCAATCGGTCAGACGAGTCAGTCAAGACAATCATCGCCAAACAGAACAAAGAACAGACCCCAAGTCTATATATATTTGCGACCTCCTACACTAATATCCAGTGGCCATCTTCTCAGTGTCCTCCGTATGTACAGGCTGCGTCTACAACTTCAGACCCAACTTCCTCACCAACTCAATGCCCTCCGCCAGGGTCCCCACTCGGGCGTCGATCGCGTACCCCTCTGCCTCGAGCTTCTTCGTCTCCTCGAACAGCGATGCCAGAGGCACGGAAAAGCACTCGATAAACTCGTTGTCCTCGAGTTGCGGTTGCGGGTTCTGGTTCTCCGGGAGGGACATGTCGACGCGGACGTGGACCATGGTGAGGTTCGTGTTGCAGAAGCCGGGGTCTGTTGACAACAGAAAAGATTGCATTAGTTGAACGTGGTATTCTGTGATAGAAAAAAAAACATCACACTATGAGGAGAAATAGGGAAGCGACAGCGAATAGGGTTCCTACCGTTGTACATGACTGTGCTCGTCGTTTCAGCCGTCCCCACGAACCCAGTCTCCTCCTTCAGCTCGCGGACGGCACATTGCTCCGGCGTTTCACCCTCGTCGATCAGGCCGGCGGGCACTTCGATCACGATCTTGTCAATCGCCGGTCGGTATTGCTTTTGCAGGAGAAGTTCCGGGCCTGTGGGCTTGTTCAGAATCGTCACGATCCCTACGCCGTCAATGGGGGAAGTCGGCGGGCGGGTCTAGAGAAGCGTCAAGCGGGCATTAGTTTGTTATTCCGAAGGCATTCATTTTGAATTTGACTGAAGCGAAACGGTATGGGAACAGCATGCAGGACACGACGCTGGCATGCTCATGGGTAAAGAGAAGTTGTTTCGGAAATGGAAACGCAGGTCGATAAATTTCCAATTGGGCCAGCTGAAACGAAAACATTGAGAGATGGGGGGAAAAAAACCAAGACCAGAAGCAACAAAGAAGTACAAGACAGCCAACACAAGGAATTGAATCCCTGCTCGAGGAATATACAGGACAGGCCTAGTGTGGAGGTGCAGCACCACAAAAAGAAAAGAAACAAAGAGACTTCACCCAGGGGCGCATACCGGCCGCTCTGCTGACTCCCATGTTCGCTCCACGCCAAGTGGATCAATATATGTAGTCTTCATAAGCCGTATCCAAACGGCCTCTGCGGGATCCTAAGGTTCAATTAAGACAAAGAATTAGTTGGATTGTATCTCAATGCGGACCAAGCTTAGTGTTAATGGCAGGGATCGTTTAAAGAACCCGAAATAGAGACTAATAATAGTGTGCTTTCTGGAAGACTCTCATTCCATATACAACACGTACCAATGGTTCTCGGGAGACGAGCTTGGAGGCTTTGGCGGTGCGGGTCGACTCGGTCATGTCGGTCGTTACCAGCAGACCCAACGATGCTAGTGGTTTGGAAAAGATGATACGGGTACGGATACGAGGCTGGGATAAATAAGTGAAGGAAACGGAACTTCCCACCCAGATTGAGTGTCAAGAACAAACGATCTGAACCGGCTGTTGATGGTCAGTTGGCATGGTGGAGAGAGCCTGGACAGGTGATGTCACTGGCCCACCAGGGCTGGGCCCTTATCTTATCTCGCCATTCACCCCTCATTTGACGTCCAACCCCTCGGATAGAGTGTGATTGCAACAGAACGACCCGCAATCAGAGTTCTTTGACATAAAAGAGAGATTAATATTTTATTCTGCGATACACCTCATTCCTGAAATCTGATTGAATTACGGTTACCGTTTCATGAGATACACAACAGTAAAATTGCTAAATGCGCCTGCAGGCATACCACCAAATAACCCAATTTCAGATACTACACGTTGTAGGGTCTAGGTATAGGTAATCAAAATACAATAATTAATATTTATAAATATATAAATACTCTTATCTCTCTCACAGTATGGTGCATCCCACCCCACTTTACCCAGTTCCATTTCCCCGATATTCCCCCATCTGAGCGGGGCTAACCGGAGAGAGCATGTCTCGCATCCCACTCTACCAAGTCGAGCAAGCTGCAGATTTAGGTCAGCATGCATACCTACATATCCGTCCCCAGACCCATCCATACCACCAAGATATGGGGGATATCTTTTCTGGTTAGTCGGGTCCCTATCGCCTACTAACCTGGGTAGGTAATGTATGTACAGAACAATTGCAAGGGGGATGCGGGCACAGCGTACCATCCATTTGGCTAGACTAGGTACCTAGTCAATTGTTTCATGGGGTAGGTACCTGGCCGGGAAATGAACCAGTCAACTAAAATAACGCAGTGCAAGCAGCGGGATTTTTTTTCGACCCATAACGACAGAGGATCTGCAGGGCAGATTAACCTCCCTAAGATAAGCACTTAAGTACTGTACAGTACATACTTTTAAGAACCAGACCTAGAACAGACCTCGACAGAGAGTCAAGAAAAACAAAAAACTGTAAATATTCGCTCACGCCTACATACATAGAGTCGGTACATACCTAACCTGGGTAACTGAACATCTGTGACACCATGCCCTTGCAGCCTGCGGCTCGACACGTGAGCAAGTCAGCTGCCATCAGCATTCAGCTCCATTCGCCCAATAAAAGGTACAGTACGTACTGTACATACAATTGCTGGATTCCAGAATGCATTTGATGATCGTGCATGTGTCCAGATTCCAGAAAGTTATTTTACTAAGGGTACTAGTACCTGTATATGATCGATCAGATGTGCTGTACTTCCTATTGGAATGTATATGAACGCCCAATACATACTGACTGTACCTGCAGTGTTATCTACTGTAGATACTGGTTTGGCGATGATCCTCCCGGAGTGAATACAAAAACAAATCTTCAACACAGACTCAGGAATGATAGATAGACTAATTAATTCCACCAAATAATAATACCTAGTAATAATAACTTGTCACCATAACTTGCTTCTAATCCATCCATCCATCCATTAGAACCTAATCTAAGGATCAATGAAGGTGTGACTGACACGTTAGGTACTCCAAAAACAGCCTGCCCCATGGTCGACTCTCATTATACTTTCCGCCACGATCCATCCATTCAAACGTACCCCGGTACGCAGCACTACCTCAGCCAGTCACCAGCAGGTACTCCGTCCACGCATCACCATCCATCCATTAAACTGAATTCATTCACCGTCTTGACCGTTCCCGCTCCCCGCTACTACCTAGGGATCGCACATAGGTCTAGACTGCGCCACTGTCCTTCCTGTACGCTAGGAGTCATGCGTTGTATGCATGAATGGACAGGATGTAGAATAATTTTTTATGAGTGAGTAGTGCAGATGCCTCGAGGAGTCAGTCTGTGTCTCGTGAGTCATTTGTATGTTCTAGATAGACGGTGCATGTCGTACGTCGGGACTAACTCGGCGACGGTGGGGTTTGGCCTGCTTTTTAGTCTCAGTCCGGTGAAAATTTTTGTGGGGACTATATACAACGTCTACAACTACTACGGAATACTCCATACTCCATACTCAATGGCAACAAGTATTGTTTTTCTCAAGCAATTCTATTTCCTATGGGCTATCGCTATCGACAAAACAAATGTCTATTGCCTAGCACAGGAAAAGATGCAAGACATTCAAAGTAGACGGGCAAAGCAAAGTAACCCCGCAAAAGAAAACCCAGACCCATTTGTGAGGATAATGCCCGTGCGTATTCATCTGTAAACAGTAGAAATCATGCCGTTCATTAATCCATCGCTCATCAAAGAAATTGAAGAAGCATGTGCCATCGAATCTCTAGGATTCGAGGAGGAAAAATGAAAAAAAGCCCGAAAAAAAAAAGTGTGAGAAGGTCATCGCGCCCGTTGCCACAAAACGCCGTTTGCCCAAAGTGGGAAGGGGAATCGTCGAAAAAGTCGAACGAGAGAATAAAAGGCGTATCTAATAAGAATCGTTCTCGATCTGCTGGAGGCAAGACTCGAACTCGGCCCAGTCCTTCATGACAACCTTGGCACCCAAATCGGTCAACTTCTTCGCCATCTCGGCTCTCTTATCATCGCCATGGTAGCTGCCAACATAGGCAATGAGAGGAATACCGGCACGGATCGCGGCGAGTGCACCACTCCGGCTGTCTTCAATCGCGACACACTCTTCAGGCTTCTTGCCCAGACGGTCGAGGGCCCAGAGGTAGACAGCGGGATCGGGCTTCGAGGTTGGCTTGGGCAGGGAGCTGGCCGCGCTGAAGATGTGGTCTGGGCGGAAATACTTGTCCTGGCCGACCTTCTTGATGGACGCCTTGACTCTGCGCAGAGCGGATGAGGAGACGACGGCGAGACCGTATTTGCCTTGGCGGTGGAGTTTCTCCAACTCTTCGTTGACACCAATGCAGGGTTGCGCCTTGGCTTCCAGCTTGGCAATGACCTGGTTCTCTTCTTCCTTGACGTAGCGCTCGAACTCTTCCTTGGGCATGTCAAAGTTGTACTTGGCCTGAAGCGAGATCATCATGCCGCGAAAGTTCTGTCCAACGAAGTCCTGGATGAGCTGCTCGCCCGTGTAGCGATCAGTGATGCTCCGTTTCGCCAAGATCTCATTGGCAATCTCCGCGCAGGCCTCGAAGGCCAATTCCTCGGACATAACGAGGGTGTTGTCGCAGTCGAACAGGATTTGGGTGATCTGCACAAGGATGCTGTCAGCATAGTGGGTCCTTGATGTCACTGGTAGATCAGAAGCTCCATCGTACCTTAGGCATGGTTGCAGATCTTTCGATGAACTCGTTGATATGATATCAAATTTGTGTACTCGGAGTCCACTGGACGCAACGGCTGGATGGGCAGCGTTGAGAATGAGAGATGTGAGAGTGGCAGAGAGAGAAAAGAGACGGGAGACAAGAGAGGCGGAGGAGATAAGGTGAGGTGAGGTCAGTGAATTGATAGATGGAAGATGTTGCGATGGTGAATGGAAAATGGAAAGGAGAGAGAAAAATACGTGGACTGCAGGGGAGATGGTGGAACCTTTAAGTACCCAATATGGGAAGAGCCCAGCGAGTGACGCTCATCACGTCTTCCACGAAGGGTAGTGATGATGACCTCACATACAGGGCGGGGGCCTGTTTCCCTTCGGGCAGGAGCGGGATGGGTGCCTCAGCCGGCTGGCTAGTGACGTCGTCGGCTGGGCGTCCCAGTCTTGTCCGGGCGTCTGGCGCTATCGGGGGGTTCCGGGGCAGCGCGGCCCTTGAGTCGCCTTGGGTGCAACGGTAGGCTTGAGACGCCCAGCTGCGGCAGTGTCACTGGCACCCTCTGGCCACTGCGGGTGCCCTCAAGGCCCGCGAGCGTCCCTAAGAGCCCCTCGACGCCGCCCGCCGGGAAGGCGTGCGCCGGTCGCTGCTTTTCCGCCACTAACCCGCTCCACCCGCACATCGCCATCCGCAAACGCGCATTGGCTGCTGGAGAGAGGATTCTTTCATTGACTCCCGGTCAACCATTTCGGCAGTCTTTCAACGCGCAAATTAAAGGAACTTTCCAGTCAGCAGAGACCCGCTCCGGGCTGCTAGCTTGGCTCTGCATTTGATCGCTGCGACTTTTTTCTCCGGATCCTGCCTAGAGCAGGAAAGATACCAGTCCTGATTGGGTGGAGATTTCAGGAACAATAATTTCTCTTCATCTTCTTGTCGTCTGAGAACAGGCTTCTCTCTCTTTCTACGCGACACAGGAACTAGGGATTCTTGGTCCGGCAAAAGCGGCGAAAATGAGCTCCGGCGATGCGAATTTCCCGATATCTGTTTCGTCCCTCCAGTTCCCCTCCGCGGCGCAATCTGTCTCGCAAACGCTGTCGTCGCTGCGGCGATCTACGCTCTCAATTACGAATCGACTGCGATCCATCGAAGCGGATTCTCGTTTCGTGCAGGAAGTCGCAAACCACTACCGTCTTCCTCTCATTGCCAACGAGAGATGTGGGAGTTGGTATATCCCCCCGGAGAGAAAGGCGGGGAGTGCCTACTTCAAGAGCACTGATGGCCACACTGGCCAGTGGGATTTCAGTTTTCGGAGACTAAATCTCCAGGTTCTTCCTATTGCTCGAGAGCATGGCGGGTAGGATGCCCGGGGCCCCTCAATGCTCGGTCTATGACTAAAAAGTGTCTGCTTAGATGCATCATCGTGGACTCCACGCGCAGGGGTAAACGTAAGTTTTTTTTTCTCACTGCGCCCCTGCGCAGTTTTACGTTTTGCATGTGAGGAACACCAGAGTAACCATAGGACAACATGTGCAGTGATGCCCGATGCTTTGTCGAAGACGGTCCCTATCTGGTGCGCCGTAATGAACAGGGCGCTATTTCCATCAGATACCGGGCTCCATGCGGTGCAATTCCCGCCTAATTACCTGGGTGAATCAGAAGAATACCAGATCGAAAAGAGAATAGATGGATTTGTAACGTCCCTGAAAGTAAGCTACCAGGACGGCGACCAAGGCGTCGCATGGAACCCCGACTGATCAACATCCGTACAACTAGGAACTGAAATTAGACCTGGACGAACTTCGAAGGAGCCTTGGTAAGCCAATTCGAATCGCATGGGCAAACCAATCATATTTCTACCCGACAGATCTCCAAAAAGGGGATGACTATAATCTTTTCGTCCTCTGTTCTGCTTCAAAACGAGTACATGGGGCTGAAATGTCCGAGGGCGGTTATATCCAAGGTGCAGGTGATGATAGTGAGGGATGGTCTCATGGCCTGACGCCTCCTGTTTTCTGGGCAAATAAATCCACGCTCTTTGCTACAGAAGAAAGTGACTTGCCCGAGCTTATTGAGCAGCTGGTGGAAGAACATCGCAAGCACGGAGCTGGTCCACAAGCTACACTGATCCAACCAACTCGGAATCTCTATATTGGCCAAGCAGGTGATGCTTCAAGCAGAAGTGAGGCGTATGACCTCGTCATAGCCTGCCATGACAAGCCTGTTGAGTCTGAAGGCGATGCAAAGAAGCTCAACCTAGGCTGCAACACGTCTAAGCTTGGCAGTCGAGACCTGCGGAAAGCCTTAGACCGAGTGAAAGCATTTGTCGAGACTCATCTATCTGCAGATCCATCTCGCACACTGCTGGTAACTTGCGAAACGGGGAAAGATCTCTCCGTAGGGACACTACTGGCCATCATCTGTCTGTTCTACGACGATAACGGTAACCACTGTTTGAATAAATATCGAATGTTCCTTGTTCAGCTGACGGTTCTGCGCAGGCAACTTTGTCGGACTACAAACAGGAACTTCAATGGACAAGCAGTTCATTCGGCAGCGACTGGCATGGATTGTCACGTCCAAGCATGACGCAAATCCTTCACGGGCGACTCTCCAGTCGGTCAATGCATTCCTCATGCAAAGGCCAGATTAGAAGTGCCCTTAGGACCAAAGGCTACCCATGAATTGACAGATGTTGAAGGTTTATGGCCGGCGCCTTGGTGGTCCCTGGATCCAGGATATGTATCTTTCCTGCGCGCAGGATTTTATTCGTTGACAACTGCTTCAACGATGGCTCCAGCGCTTCCCTGGTCTAATCCGTCCAACACGGCCATATCATCCTGGCTAATCTCAAAATCATAAACATCCGCGTTCGCAGCAATCCGAGAAGGGTTTTCGGTCTTTGGCAGAGGAACCCATTGCTTTTGCAACCCGTAGCGAACAAGGATCTGCGCCGTGGTCTTTCCGTACTTCCGTGCCACAGAAACTAATGTAGGGTCGTTGGCCTTGTAATTACGGACGAGTGGACAGTACGCTTCTACAACGATGCCATGCCTCTTGCAGTATTGATCAATGACGCGCTGTTGACACCACGGATGGAGCTATATATCGCGCCAGTTAGAACTCCACGCTGTAGGCGGATTCAATCTAATAGAACCTGGGACAGCATGCTCACCTCGATCTGATTGACGTGCGGTGGCCAGACCTTGGCGTAGGCCTTCATCTCCTCCAAATGCTTCACCCCGTAGTTGCTGACACCGATGCTTCTTGTTTTGCCCTCCTCATAAAGTCTCTCGAGAGCCTGCCACATCTCTTTCCGACCCGCTGCGCCAGAACTGGTGCTGTGAATGAGGAAGAGATCCACATAGCCATCCTTCCCGGCGATCTTTTCAACGCTATTCAAGAGTTTCTCATAGGTCGCCTGCGGTGAGCCTCCAGGCGTCATGATTTTTGTCGTAATAAACACTTCCTCCCGTGGGATGCCTGATTGTCGCACCGCCTCTCCCACTTCCTTCTCGTTTCCATAAAACTGCGCGGTGTCGATGTGACGGTAGCCGACCTTCAGGGCGTCCAGACACGCTTGCACACATTTTTGATCGTGAGCGCGGTAGACACCAAATCCTAGACGAGGAATCTGGACGTTGGAATTTGGGAGAGGTAGGACATCGGTTATCGCGAATTGCGTAGACATGATGGCTCCGGCACGGTGTGAGTGATCGATGATGCGCTTTGGATTGATACCCGATCGTTCCTTGGCGATATGACGGTCAATTCGGTCCGCAGAAAAAGATCCTGAAGTTAGTTATATACAGAGCTGCTATTGCATATATCCAATGGCGGTCAAATTGTTGATGTGTGGCACGAGATGTTCGCAACTTGACTCCCTCGATGATGGTTTGGTACCCCCACTTGGAGGGGTTCCCGGAAAATTGATATCTCCAGTCGGCCCGCTATCGGAAGGGGTAACTCGAAGACGCGAAGCATCGGCATTGATCCGATCCAGCCTACAGAGTACGGAGTATGCCATTCTAAACGTCATTTCTGTTTCTGTTCGACAAAATTATGTCTCAATCAGACTTTGACTTGGAAGTCACAGCAGATACTGGGAAGCGTTCATCGCAACAGCCCTGCAAGCCTTGAAGGTATCACGTGAACTCCGGCTTGCTGACAAGATTCAACTCGCGGCCATTCCAGCATCTTGGTCATTCCCACCAATGAACTGTATCCTTCAAGCTTGTCCTGAGTAATCCGTGATATTATTGCCTATCGAATTTCTCGTCCATGACAAGATTGCTGGCAGGAACCATTGTTCCTACCTGTTTGACAGCCGTCTTTGTGGCCGGAGGGAACAGCGTCTAATGTCCTACGCTACATCAAATAAAGGTTCACGAGCCAACCTGCAACTCTGGGTGACTGCCTACCAAACAGATTGGCTGTCTTCATTGTCGGACTGTGTCCTGGAGAACCCGATCCAGAGCCTCTTTCCCAATCCGGCGAAGATCAACCCTCCACTTGTTCGTTTCGATCGCTAAAAATCCCCGACCACGCTTTCTCCGTACTGACGTGCCCCCAGGGGAACAGACTGCGGAGAACATCACTGTCATACATGTGGTTATGCAAGGTGTATCTGCAGAGACCTCGCGGAATTAGCTCGGCACAAATTTTCCGCTCAATGTGGCCTTGTAGCTTGGGATGGATAGCCTTGCAAACTGTCTCTGTACTGGCGTCCAGGTGAAGACCAATGAATTAGGTAGGATTGATAGGAGTACTCCGTAGTAATCAATTCGTGGAGGATTGATCGTGCGTGGTTGGTCCAAGGCAAGGTGGCTGGCTCCGCTGATCAATGTTTAGTAGCATTGCAACGTGGTGTGGAAGACTGTTGAAGGACATATCCTCTGCCATGCAGGTCTAAGGGGACAATATTTCATTCAGCAAAACACACCGCCTGGGCAGTTGATACTTGATAGAGTCAATGGGGATAGAGGACAAAAATCTAGACCACGACGCCATGCTTGAAAATGATAGGGCGACTGTTTGGAACAGCAAAGAAAGTTTGTGGTTGAGCGACTCTCGGTCCCTGGTTCGGTTGCTGTGGAGGCTGCTATTGTTGACAACTTCTAGGTAGTTGATCCGAGCCAGCTCCCTAAGCCACGCCGGGAAAGGAGGCCCTCATGGGGTCCCGCAGTATCCTGAGCCTCTAACCAGCAGAGAGACAAGCTTTTTTCCAGCATTAATATTGTAACTCGAACCTGGCTTCTAAATAAATAACAATCCTCGGCCGATCTGCAGTCGAGCTTAGTCCGCTGTGCCGAACTGCAGCATCGATCAGTGCTGCGTGCGACCCCTCTCTAAATCTCACCTTCCTTTACCCCATATCGTCCTCCAATTGTTGATTTACCATCCGGCACACCCACCCCTTTTTTGTATCTCTGGAAAGCCCTTGATGAGTGTCCGCCACCATCATGTTGCCGGTCGAGAAGCAGTGGATTAATGTACAGCAAAAGACCTTCACAAAATGGTTAGTCGTCTCAGGATTGAACCTCGTCTGGCTGTGGTGACCTCGGAGCTCAACGAATCTTGACAACAGGATCAACAACAAACTTAAGGTCCGAAACATAACCGTCGAAGACCTGGTGCACGATCTTTCGGATGGCGTGAGTCACATCTCCTCTGCCCGTACGCCTTCTCTGTCAACAGCATCCCTCTGACCTCCATTAAGGTCATCCTCATTCACCTGCTTGAGATCCTGGGCGGCGAGTCTCTCGGTCGATATGCCTCCAAGCCGAAGCTACGTGTGCAGAAATTCGAGAATGTCAACAAAAGTCTTGATTTCATCAAGGGGCGGGGGATACAAATGACCAACATCGGGGCGGAAGACGTTGTTGACGGTAACAGAAAGATCATCCTGGGGTTGATCTGGACCCTTATCTTAAGATTTACCATCAGCGACATCAACCAAGAGGGTCTCTCGGCAAAGGAGGGCTTACTGCTATGGTGCCAGCGGAAGACTGCCTGCTATCCCGAAGTCGAGATCAAAGATTTCTCCACTAGCTGGAACGACGGACTGGCCTTCTGCGCCCTTCTCGACATTCATCGACCGGACCTGATCGATTTTGACTCCCTGGACAAGAACGATCACCGTGGGAACATGAAGTTGGCGTTTGATATTGCTACGAATGAGATTGGCATCCCGGACCTGCTCGACGTCGAGGACGTCTGTGATGTGGCCAAGCCAGACGAGCGATCGCTCATGACCTACATCGCTTACTGGTTCCATGCCTTCTCGCAGCTCGAGAAGGTCGAAAATGCCGGTAGACGGGTAGAGAAATTCATCACCAATATGCAAGGCGCCTGGGAGATGCAGAGTTCCTACGAGCGGAGAATGAGGGAGCTGCTCCGCCAGATCGCCGAACAGAGGGCTCAATGGCGTGAGTCATCCTTCGAAGGAACCTACGCGGACGCGAAAGAACAGCTCAACCAGCTCTCGCAATACAAGAGAGATAAGAAGCGGAAATGGGTGGCGGAGAAGTCCGATCTCGCCGCTCTGCTAGGAAACATCAAGACCAAGCTCAGCACCTACCGCCTTCGCGCGTACGAGCCTCCTCCAGAGCTGCGGCCCGAGGTCCTTGATCGCGAATGGGAAGGCCTTACCAAAGACGAGCAGGAACGCAGTCAGCTTATCAACGAGACTATTCGAGATATCAAGAATGCCCTCCGTCGCTCATTTGCAGACAAAGCCAACGATTTCGCGCTCACGCTGAAGACACTGTCTATGGCCATTTCCGGGCTGGAAGGCGACGTGGAGGATCAACTCGCTCACGTTCAACGCCTGAACGACAATCTACCCCCTCTTGATGCTTTCTTGGAAACAATCGCCGAGCTGGACAAACAGTGTGCCGAAGCGAATATCGAAGAGAATGACTATACAACGTACACCTTGGATGACCTATCATATGAGCTTGGGCTGGTAAAAGCGAGTGTGGCCAAGAAGCTGGCATTCCTCGAAAACCAAATGGTCGCACGGAACATGACAAACCTGACACCTATCCAATTGGAGGAGTTTGAGTCGGTGTTCCGGCACTTTGACCGCGACGGCTCAAACACTCTTCATGAGATTGAATTCTCCGCAGCTCTTGCGAGCTTGGGACTCGTCTACGATGAGGACGAGATGCACGAAGTCTTCCTGCAGACGTCTGGCGGAAAGTCAAGCGTCACGTTTGAGCAGTTCATCCGATTTATGGTCAGCGTAACAGAAGACCAAAACACGGCGGAGCAAGTGTTTCAAAGCTTCCGTGAGGTTGCCGACGGAAAGGTGTGTGCCAGATCATTTGTTTTTGAGTTCTCGACTGCAGATTCCATACGCATACTAACGCTTTCATTTCATAGCCCTATGTTACGGAACTGGATCTCAGGCATTCCCTCATTCCTGACGACCTTATCGAAAATCTCATTCAGACGATGCCTAGACATGAGGGCCCAGATCTCCTGGAGGATAGGGACGTTCCCAAATATGATTACATCACCTTCATGGAGCGGATGATGGATACTGGCAACAACAATGGGCAGGACCAGTCCAGTGGCCACCAGAAGCAACCCTCGATCAACGGAGGCCATTAAAGGATATCCGATTTTAGCATTTACGGTCGTTTGCGGGGTGTTCTTCTTTCCTTCGGTGGGCCGGTGTTTTGGGGACCTAGCGGCGGTCTGTTATTTGTCTTTTCCCATAAATTCTTAATCTTGCGTACAGGACAGTCCTTTTCTTTCTTCGGTGCGCTTTCTGGATACAGCCCATAGCCTCTCGTTTGGTGATGCCAGGTACGTCACTCATCATCCTCTCAAATTGACTTTACTATTGTTGCATACGTTAATACTTCGAACTCTTTTATCTTTCAGAGGACAGTAAAACCGAGAACTGGTATCTGTATGCTTACCACGTAGCTTAGTTGCATAAGACTGGACAAAAATATCGGCTTGCATCAATATATTATTTCTTCAATTCACATTTGACAATCATTGCGTCCCCACTCTAAGCTTCGAATTGTATGGATGTATTCCGTACATACGGAGTACGCATAGCTTGGGACTCCCCATACGGAGTAGATCATCGCATCACGTGACATAGCTTCTCAGCCACCTGTAAATGATCGACGCCCCAGTGTCATCCAAACTGTTCTCACAGGAGCTCGGAACTCTCACTTTTCTTCCACCTTTCTTCTGTTCTATTTGCCCATTTTCTTTTTTTCGACTGACCAGTATACCCATTGATAGAGCAATTGTTGCAGAAATGGATCGCAGCCTGGATGAGATCATCGCTGAACGTCCCGTAAGTTCTCCGAGCTGTTCTGCTGCTTGCTGCTTGCTGCTGCAGAACGTGATCGACTACGTCACATGCTAGAGACTGACATGAGCGTTCACATATAGAAGCAGAACCGCCGTGGACGTGGAAATCGTAGTAATGCCCCCCGCGACGGCGTCAAAAAGGTGCAGTTTGGCCCCTTCGTCCTGCCACGTCCTGCCTGATCGACCCGATTATCTGACTTGGTTCCCCGTTGCTAGGTCTCCTTCCTCCTCCTCCTATCGCGTCCTGTCGCTCCGTGAAAAGCATCCGATGGTCGGGTTTCATGGCCCTCGGGCCTAAACCGCGGCCACAATGCGCGCAGAAAGATGGATCGTTATCACAATAACATAGAATGACTCCAGCTGACCTTGTCCTCTTTTTCTTCAAATGTAACAGTCATACCGAGAACGTGTTGATCTAGATCGGTAAGAGTTTGCTCTTTGTTTCGGAGGTTTGGGAAGGGTTGCTAACTGGGTTTTTGACAGTGATTGGGTTCATGACAAGTTCGAAGACGACTCAGACAGTACGTTCTAGCCTCAGAACTCGAGCAATGTCTTGTTCTCTGGCTTACCTCTTTTGTTCTCTTTTCAGCGCCTACATATCGTCGCGAGTCCCGCCCTCGACGTGGTGATCGCTACTCTCCCGAGCGCGAGCGGTATGTTTTTCCACATGTCGATCGTTATGTACAAGTTGCTAATGTGAGTAATGTAGCGGCCCTACAGGGGCTAGGCTCCGTATTGAAAATCTTCACTACGACCTGACAGAAGACGATCTGGAGGTATGTCAAACACATTCTTATCATAGAGCAGCCGCTGACGAGGCTTTTTATTGGAACAGGATCTATTCACCCGAATTGGACCGGTTACTCGCGTGTCTATCGTATATGATCGCGCCGGACGCTCCGAAGGTATCGCGTACGTTACATACAAGTACATTGAGGATGCGAGAACGGCTATTCGTGAATTCGACGGTGCCAACGCAAAAGGCCAACCGATCCGCATTACTCTCGTTTCTTCCGGACGCGGTGGCCGGAATCCGTTTGACAATATCGAGAAGCCGAAGGGAAGTCTGTTTGATCGCATCGAACGCCCACGCGATAGACGCAGCCTCAGTCCGGAAAGCGATAGTGATCGTGGACGTCGGCGTGGAAAATACGGTCCTCGCCGTAGTGATGTCTCCAAGCCCCCTCCCGACCACATTGATCGCTATGTGCCGGGACAGCGCTCTCCTGTCCGCCGCGGACGACGCGGTGAACGACGTGAAGCGAAGAGAAGAACGGACAGCAAGGGTCGCCCGCTGGTCAACGGTCGGCCGAGAAAGACTCAGGAAGAACTTGACCAAGAGATGGATGACTACTGGGAAAATGCCAACGTCGGAGCGAGCAATAACACTGAAAAGGAAGCCGCTGCCCCAGAGCAGACTCAAGAGGCGGCACCTCCATCGAACGCTGCAGCTGGCGATGTCGATATCGACATGGTCGAGTAAACCGACAGGTGTCCTGGGATACAGTCGCTCTTGAATCCTTTTTTATTTGTTCTTCGTTCCCCTCTACAAAAACAAAAGTTGCGCTGGTATCGGGTTATGGTTGATATTTTGTGTTTTTTCAGAACCAATGCATTATTAGTATTAGCGTTCAACTGAATGTCTCCTTCGGTTCGGCTTCGGTCAGATAGTCCAGCAAGAAGAATACCAATTTGATTTTTTTTTCTCCTTCTCTCTACGTTTTTCTTTGTCCGGTCTGTCTGTAGTATTGTAGTAGGGCCCTAAACCGGTCATAGTGAGTAAGCTACCGTACTTACGATCAATAAATCATAAATTGATTTAAATTGAGATCGATGGAAATTCTATTGTTGATATACGTTTGTTTGTGAAACAAGTTTTAATCGATTGATTTGATGAATGAACGATTCATCATCGTCGTCGTCATCATTGTCATCTAGGTAGGTAGCCTATAATAAAAATCTATACCTATCTGTTCTGTTCTGTCCCGTCTTGTCTACCGCCAGAGTCCGTATGGCTCCCGACAGGCTTTCCACAGCTTGATGGTTCCGTCTTCGCTTCCGGTGCCGTACAGCTTGCCGTCTGGTGAGAAGCTGACGGACCAGATCGGGCCGTGGTGACCTTTTTGGACTTCTGTAGGAAGGAAAAAGAAAGGAAGTAATTGTGTTAGCGTTGTGCTTCTATGCCTTTTTTTTTAGGAGAGAGAGCGAGAGAGATGGGGGAGGAGGGAAGACATACCAAGTTCCTCATCGGTGTGCAAATCGTAGACTCGAGCCCAGGTGTCCTCTCCCGCACCACCGGTGACGAAACGACCAGTCTCGTTGTTCACGGCCACACTGGCGACCTCGTACTTGAAGTCGACCTTCTTGAGCAATCGGCCCGGCGTTGCGCCATCGAACAGATACACACTCTTCCCGGCGGCGACGCTCAGGATGCCCGGGTCGTTCGGCATGGTGGCCAGGCTGTTGAGTTCGCAGCTGCCAATGGTGCCCTCGACCGAGTACTCGACAACCGGATGTCGTGACCGCAGGTCCCACCATCGAATCTTTCGGTCCTCTGCTGCCGTGGTGAGGATGTTGTAGTCTTGGTTCCAGACAATGGACTTGATCGTTCCCCCGTGGACGCCGGGCCCGATTTCGTAGCTCGTCGTGGACTCGGATCCCGAACTAGGTCCGTTCGTCGAGCCCGAGGATGACCCGTTGGAGTCGCTCCGGGTGAGGTCAAAGATGCGGAGCTTCTTTTCGACGCCTCCGGTGGCAAGAACCTGAGGGTTCAGTTGGATAGGAAATGCGACCGCCCGGACAATGTGCGAGTGCTGCAGCGTGTGAAGGCACTCGCCTGTGTGCGTGTCCCAGACCTTACTGCCAGAGTAGTTAGCAGGATGAACGCTGTCTCATAGATCATGTTGGTCCTGGACGTACGCGGAAAAATCGGCAGCGGCGGTAGCTGCTATGTTTGCATCTGCCGATAGACGAGCCTGCCATACTGCGCCTTTGTGTCCCATAAACGTTCCAATCCTGGACAGCAGGTTAGCTCGCTTGCAAACCAGTTTTTGTGAGTGAAGCTGGAACGAACCAGTCGCCGGTAATACCATCACGGAGCATAGGATTGTTATCTGCAGCATTGGTCAGGTTTTGCTGGAGCAATTTCGAGAAAGATGGGTGATGATACCTTTGCATGCCGAGATCAAGTAATACTGATCATCTTCCACTATGGAAGAAAAGCTGATATGGGGAACAGGGCGCGAATGTCCATGACAGGTCAAAGGAACGACTTTGGGGATGTCTGTCAACTGTCAGCGATAATTCCCTTTGATATCGACAGCACACTCACCCGAAGCCATTTGGGCTCCCAGAAAGACACGATCGCCAACCCACCCAACAGATGAATACCAAAAATTGCTTTAGACACTGATTCCCAGAGTGATGAAATATGATATGTCAAGCACCTGGCATGGAAAAATCACGCGGAAATCTCCTCAAAGAAAAATCAAATGGAGACGACGGATCTGAGATTCTGATGACAACAGCAATGCAATAATAATTCAAAGCCCTGAATCATGAAAAAAGCACCAAGTAAGGCATCATATTCGTCAAGTCGTAACAGCCAAGAAAATCGAAAGACACGATTGGTTCGCTGGCGAGGGACAGCCAGGGACGGACGGAAGGATTGAGGTAGAAGGCAAAAAAGGAAAAAAGAAGCAACCAACGCCAGTGTCCTAGGTACAGTACAAGTCTTTATCACTGGCTTAGACACTCTGCGCACGCTCAGAGAATCCAGCGTTGTTTGCGCGAAGGTTGTGGTCTCTCTCTGGACCCCGGCAGTCGAGAGGGCAGGCGGGTATTCGACCGTAGTTAATTAGTGCCAGATTGAGATGGAGAAAATGTCCGATATGAAGCGCGCCTCCGGAGCAACTAACCCTTAGCCCTTGCAAAGCCCCAGTAGGGAATAGCGCAGTCGACAACCACGTGAGGGGTTCACGGCGACTTGTCAACCGCCAGCAGGAAACAGCGCAGCAGGTTTGATAATTCCTCGCCGGTTGCGGCGTCTATGTATGAATCAACATGCCGTTTTGTATGCGCATCTCGTCTCGAGGGGTGAGGTGTGTCGATTGGCCTGGAAACACTCGACAACGATGATTCTACTGCAGGAATCGATTCAGCACTCTCACCGCTCTTTGCAGGCTTTCCATCTTGTTGATTTTGCTGCTCTCGACGCTGCTACATGTGGAGATGATTTCCAAGAACTATCAAAGGCATACATAATCTACCTCATAGTCCACTCAGTCCAGATGCAAAGCCCCACTGCGCATAGTCAGTGGGAATCAGAGCATGCCTGTACAGGCCATAGCACATCCATCAGTGTATTCTCATGCTTCTGAGACGTCTAATATACAACATACTCTTTCATACTACATGCGCTGGATATCTAGAATAATGCTACAGTAACAATGCGCATGGCTGAATCTACTGGCTGGAATCTGTTCCTCACCGCCCACGTGATGCGATTAAGCCACCCCGCAGATGACGGCACATGACGGCACAATGGCGGGCGGTGATTCCCGACTGTCAACAGATGCAGTCTTCTCTCTTGGCAGCTGCTTGTGTCTCCTACACTTGACCGAATGTCTTGCTGAGACAGCTTTGGTTTCGGTCGCTTGTAATCTGCGTTGCCTTGACAGTCGCTGGCCAGCACATAAACTTTATGCATGTCTGAATACAAGCTCTCCGCGTCATTGGAGGGCCACGGCGATGATGTAAGTGGTCGACACTCTTCTCATTCCTATTGCCATAAACATTTGGCTGTTGTGCATGCTAAATCGAAGCACTAGGTACGCGTCGTGGCCTTCCCAAATTCAGAGACAGTGCTCACAGCCTCGCGCGATGCCACAGTTCGCATTTGGAGGCGAGTGTCTTCGCAGCCGCCCGCCTACGACTACACCATCTCTTCACACGGCTCCGCGTTCGTCAACTCCTTAGCCTACTATCCGCCCATTCCGCAGTTCCCTGAGGGTCTGATATTTTCGGGAGGGCAAGATACCATAATCGAAGCCAGACAGCCGGGGAAAGCCGCGGGGGAGAATGCAGATGCTATGCTCCTCGGCCATGGCCACAATGTCTGCTCGCTCGATGTCTCTCCCGAAGGCGGGTGGGTCGTAAGTGGAAGCTGGGATGGTTCAGCAAGACTATGGCGATTGGGGAAATGGGAGACAGATGTTGTGTTCGATGGTCACCAAGGTAGCGTTTGGGCTGTATTGGCCTACAACAAGGAAACAGTCATTACGGGTAGGTGACGTGTTTTCCTCCGAGCTTGTGCTGTAACCGCAGGGCTAATTCATATTGCAGGCTGTGCGGACCGTATCATTCGTGTCTTCAACACGTCTGGAAGACTGCTGCGAACCATCAAGGACTCCCGTGACGTCGTCAGAGCGTTGTGCAAGCTGCCTGATAACCACCCCTCCGGAGCTCAATTCGCCTCAGCAAGTAACGACGGCGTCATCAGACTATTTACATTGAATGGTGACCTTGTTGCAGAACTTCATGGACATGAGAGCTTCATCTACTCCCTGGCTGCCCTTCCGTCGGGCGAGATTGTCAGCTCCGGAGAGGATCGAACTGTGAGAATATGGAAAGGCACCGAATGTATCCAGACCATTACCCATCCAGCGATATCTATATGGTGCGTGGCAGTGTGCAATGAGACGGGAGACATTGTCACCGGTGCAAGCGACCGTATCGCGAGGGTCTTCAGCCGAGATAAGAACCGCCAGGCAGAGCCCGCTGTGATTCAGCGGTTCGAAACTGCCGTGAGGGAATCGGCAATACCACAGCAGCAGGTCGGAAATATCAACAAGGAGAAGCTCCCCGGTCCCGAATTCCTCAAGCAGAAGGCTGGGACCAAGGAAGGTCAGGTCCAAATGATACGTGAGGCAGATGGCAGTATCACCGCCCACACCTGGTCAACAGCAGCACGACAGTGGGTAGCCGTGGGCACCGTTGTCGACTCTGCTGGGAGCTCCGGCAGGAAGACGGAGTATCTGGGTCAGGATTACGACTACGTTTTCGATGTGGATATTGAAGACGGGAAACCTCCCTTGAAACTCCCTTACAACCTAAATCAGAATCCCTACGAAGCCGCCACGAAATTCCTTCAAGACAATGAGCTTCCTATGGGGTATCTCGACCAAGTTGCGAAGTTCATCATTCAGAACACGCAAGGTGCAACTATCGGCCAATCAAGCGAGTCACAGCAGCCTGCGGGTGCTGCAGATCCATGGGGTCAGGAACGACGATATCGCCCAGGAGAGGTCACGACGGCCCCTCAGCCTCCATCGGCGGCTCCATGGCGTCAAGATGTGCTTCCGCAACGATCCTATCTCTCTATTAGATCTGCCAATATCAAAGTCATTGCCAAGAAGGTGGAGGAGCTGAACCAACAAATCGTGAGCTCAGGTGCCAAGGACGTTTCCCTGAACCCGCCAGAATTGGAGACTGTCATGGCCCTCTGTCGCCTACTAGAGTCCAATGAATCCCTCCCTAAGGACAACGCGATTCTTGAGACTGGAATACTACTAGTGTTCAAGATAGCGGCTAAATGGCCAACTGCCAATCGACTACCTGGTCTCGATCTTCTTCGGCTACTAGCAGCGGCGACTCCATTAACTGCCCAGACGAAATATGATGATCAAGACTTGATCTCCGCGATCCAGCAGAGCGGGGTGTTCAACAGTCCTGTGAATGTCAATTATGCGATGCTTACAACCAGGATGTTTGCCAATCTCTTTGAAACCCCTGCCGGTCGTGAGCTCGCAGTCAGCAAATTCGACCAGATCCTGGATATGGTCAAGTCGGTCACCACGTATGAGGAAAGTGCGCCGAATCGTAACCTCACCATTGCCGTGACCACCCTGTACATCAATTATGCGGTGTATTTCACGTCAGAGGGGCGAGCCAAGGCTCCCGAGTCGTCGGAACGTGGACTTAGCCTGCTTGACGAACTAGCCAAGATTCTCTCGAAGGAGAAAGATTCCGAGGCCGTCTACCGCGGTCTTGTGGCCTTGGGCACGCTCGTCAAGGAGCTTGGCGACGAAGTCAAGAGTGCCGCCAAAGACGTTTACGACTTTAACAATGTGCTAAGCAAACTGTTGGACGCCGGTCTTGAAAGGGAGCCCAGAATCAAAGGCGTCGTCGGGGAGATCAGAGGCTTGTTATGATTGGAGATTTGATAGATATGATGATTGAACGTCACACCGAGTGTCTCGGAAGCTGGTTCCCCAGCATTGCATCAATGCATGAAAAAGGACGAGGTTAGAACTGCTCGACTTATTTACAATAGCGCATAGCAATTAGATGCATTCTAGACCATATGAACTTTTCTGTCTTGCATTCCACAATCACATGTTAGCAGATATTGGCGAAAGTGTTTTTGCCAGAGGTATTTAACATGTCTCCCTGGTAGATTTGATTCGTAAAGCGTCGCGTATAATGAATTCGTGGTAATACTCATATACTGGTCGCTGCCCATGGATAGTAGGTTTCTTTCAAGGGCTAGTTCATGGATGCATCCTCATGTCGCCAACAAAACCAAAAAAAGACATATATATCCTTTTAAAGCTTCTCATCGGCATCCACACCAACCTCGACAATCTGATCGATTCCAGGGTACTCTGGCAAATCGAGATCGTATTTCTCAGCGATGTCCTTGGTCAGGAACCGGCCGCCGACAAAGTGTCTGCCACGGTACCATTTCACGCACGGCTTGGGGGCCGTCAGGCTGACGAGCGCGCCGGGCATAAACTTGGACCCGGGGCCTTCCTTGGGCGGGCCGGTGGTGATGTCCCACGAGCTGGGGGCGTCGATGCTCAGCACGGGCACCTTGGTCTCCTCCATCTGGTAGATGATGGATGGGAAGGGCTCGCGCAGGGGACCCCCGAAGGAGAAGCCGAAGATGGCGTCGATGACGAGGTCGGCGGATTTCAGGGCCTCGGTGAAGTCGGGGACGAAGGGTACGTTTAGGTTCTTCAGCTGGATTTTGAGGCGCTGTCAAGCGGGTCAGACATCTAAACATAAATATGGAGGCTTCGTAAGGCATATATAGATCACTCACCTCGTATAATTCATTCTTACCCTGCTTGGGGTAGTAAACCGAAGGGTTGTACCCGTAATGGGCGAGATGACGAGCTGCGACCAGGCCATCTCCTCCTGATAGGCGTACGAACTATCAGCCTCACTCTGTATGGAGGAGTCTTTTTACCAGGCTCATGTTCATACCATTATTTCCTGGGCCGCACACGACAAGGACATTTTTCCCCTTGCTGAGAGGGTGGAAACGGTACACTGTTCCATGAATTGGTCATATCAGTTTCTTGCTTTTCAATGCGTAGACAAATAATGTGGTCTTGCGCATACCTGCTTGTGAAACAGAAAGACCCGCCAGCTCCATCAACTGATCGAGTGAAAAACCACCCACTTCCATGAGGTCCTTGTCGAGAGCCGCAGCATCTTTGGGGGAAATTGCCTATTTATTCAATAATCGGGAGTCAGTTGGTGGGCTACAAATAAAAAGAAGAAAAGCGTAGAGTGAATTGATGACCAAATCCATCCATACCTTGAGAGACATCTTTGCAACCGTGCTGTAGCGCCGGTACCCAGCGAGTATAGAACTGTTGTATTTCTTGAACAGCGTCGAGCGAAACATACAGCGCCTTACACAGCGCGGCGCTGTTCACAGTATCAGTGGGAAACGTTCCCCCAAATTGGGTCCGATTTATCTGTTTGGAGGGGTTCGGAAGTCAATTGGAAGGCAGTTAGATGCGAGTTGATAGTTGACTGATTCCGTCAAAGAACAGGTATATTACAAGGTAGCTTTATCTCATCAATCATGAATTAGTTACGTTGCTACAAACGTGTTCTCTCCTTCTTTCGCTGAGAAAGAAATATCGGTGGACAAAGTGGTTGTTGATTATCATTGCATCATAGTTAAGGCTATTGCCCGCCTTCATCTCCGACAACCAGCGATTCGACACCCCGTCCGGATCAACTCTTGTCCGAATCGCCGGGCCTCTCCCGAGCGGAATTGCTCCAGAATAATAGAAACCGATAACTGGAGAAAAACCGTCAGGGACCTGTCCACGCGAGAATTGGGGATTGTATCTGTCAGTCAATATGGTGGTCAGGATTCGTCTCTCGCGGTTCGGAAGACGGCATCAGCCGTTTTACAACATTGTCGTCGCCCAGGCACGGTACGTGAGAAATTGCTTTCAATTCCGGCAGGCCCAAAAAAAGTCAAGTTCTACGGCAATTCTTGCTGCCTGTGCTACTCCTGCAGTCCTAAGATAATAGAAGATATCTCCTCCGATGATTTCGTGTTATCGTACTTGCTAACTCGATTTTTTTTTTCATCTACAGATCAGCCCGCGACTCCAAACCCCTCGAAGTCATCGGCACCTACAACCCCATCCCCCAGAAACCGACGAACCTGACCGATGAAGAAGCGCAAACCGCGAAGCCGTACAAGGAGATTACGCTCGACCGGTCGCGCGCCAAGTACTGGCTTGGTGTGGGCGCGCAGCCCAGTGACACAGTGTGGCGGTTACTGAGCATGGTACGGCGGTCGCTTTACTATTGCAGTCGTGATTCTATTCTGTTCTTTTTTTTCCCGGAGCTTGTGATACAAATTCGAGAATCATGATGGGTAGTTAAACCGGATGTGTATGCTAATTGGCGTGTCTTGTGACATGACAGGTTGGCCTCGTTGAGCCCAAGCGGAAGAACTAGACGACGACCTCTTTGATCCCCTGGCGCCTGGTCTTTTAAAAAAAAAAGCAGATGAGGATGAACATGCAGATGGCAAAATTGCATCTCTGAATACTCCAGCGCGAGATCTCCTCGATTCGATCTGATTTCTCGTCTCATTCCGCATTCTACGAGCAAGCATATATCTACGTCTGAGATACGGCGTCTCGTCTTAGAAAAGAAAAGAAACCGGGGGATCCACTGAAGAGAAACGTCCAATTCAGCGGTATACTGACGGAGCAGGAAAAACAAAGTCACCCCGGTACTGCTCTCCTTACGAGTGTGGGCATGTGGACGGTGTGGAGGGTGATCATTATTGTGGGAAACAAAAATATTTCAGCATTTCCATGGCGTTTTGTGTTTTTGTGTTGGAAACGAGACTTTGAATTGAATCTCGTCTCGTCCGGCTGGGTTGACTGTATTATTTATCGAGTTTGAAGGGATATTTCTCAATCTTGTATGTATGTACAGTAGAGTATCTTGACTTGGGAAATTTTTGAAATTACTCAACTGCTGTCCATATAAAACAAGCACCTTCCTACTTATCCGTCCTAGTTTGAAAAAAAAAAGAGACATCACAGTGCAATTGTTGATTAACGCCTGTGACTATCTACCGGCACATCTTCTGGTCTATATAATACAGAACAACCATAAGCAAGGTGATGAAGACGAATAACCTTGCAATTTCCAAATACTCCGTAAATAGTGGCATGCCACAGTGGGTCCAAGAGCAACAACTTCTTGAGCGCGGGCCATCCATCTAAGTGTGGAGACTGACTGGGCCATTTATCAGATATGGAGTACGGAGTACTCCGTACATACATACCACACTTGACGGATAATCTATTTGTAATATCACTGTGTTTGTATTTGTGGTCTCGCTGAAGAAATTTAAAAAAAAAAGGCTTTTACGTGCACTCTCAGACTATATATATATATGAAGATAAATGAGATGTGTGTAGAGTTGGAAGAATATCAGAACTGGAAGAACTAAAAAATAAAGATTAGCAATAATACGAACACCTCTCTTCTCTTGGCTATATCTTTTACCTCTGCCAAACGACCAATAATAAAAAAAATATCCTAGTAATCATCCTGCATCTCTTCGACACAACCAAACAAGCTCTCGGCAGTTCTCCGTACGGAGTAAAAATGGCAGGCTAAAGCCTACCTAAGCGGCAGTAATAGTACGCAGTAGGTAAGTACCTACCTAAGTGGCTGTGGATATGGTTGGCCACTACCCCAGGAGCTGGACCAGCTGATAGGAGGATACCTAGGAGTATGACTTAACAGTGGCTTGTTATACGAGGATAGCAAAGCAAATTATACATGACGCCACCCCTCCATGACTCATGTCAGTCTTGTCAGGCAGGCTGTCAGTCCAATGGGATTGCTCCATGGACAGTAATACATGAATACTAGAAGCAAGGGGGTCTTTTACGTACTGTACAGTACATACAGTGCATAATCCAATGCAATGTTCATTGGATGACGGTCCAGTCTTCAGGTATGGAGTAGGTAATAACTTCTGATAGAAGGATTCTGCCTTT